TGTCATTATTAAAAACTGGCCTTTCAAGGCAACACCAGCACTTGAACAGCCAGGCTCAGCATGGCCCTGAAGGTTGCTGTCTGACAGAGAGCTCCCTGCTCTAAACCCRGCCGAGCTGGACCAGCCGGCTCACCAGATAAGATTCCATTCTCCACGCATGGAAATAAAAGGTTGTAATAAATCCTTTGAAGGCTTAAATCTGGGTGATTAGAAAATGCATATTTTCCCCCGTTCTCCTTTTACCTCTTTATTAGGAGGGTGGTTTGTAAAGAGCTGGGAATCCYTGGCTGGCACAGGGCCCTGGGGTGTGTTTGGTGGCCGTTTGTTTTCCTGCGGTCTCTGCCCCGAGGGATCTGCRGCACAGCAGCTCCTAATGGACTTTAATGGAATTTGGGAAGGCTCAGAGCTCCCTGTGCTTCTCTGGGAAGCAGGGAAGGAGGATTCCCAGGCAGGAACATGTGGGACATGGAGAGGAAGATGGAAGGTGAGGCTGCAGGAGGTGAGAGCGTGTTCCTMCTGGGCACTGGGAGGAACAGACAGACTTCTAGGGAAAAACTCAAATACCTTCAGGCTGCAAACAGCAGGTTCTAGAAGGACCTGTCTAGAAGGACATTTAACTTGTACCAGATTTACTTCCACCACATTTAACTTCTCCTCCCTTYGCCCCCCAAATACTCACAGAGTCATGGAGGTGTTTGGGTTGGGAGAACCTTAAAGTTTATCCAACCCAACCCCTGCCATGGCAGGGACATTTTCCACGGTCCCAGGATGCTCCCAGCCCCATCCAACCTGGCTTTGGGCACTGCCAGGGATCCAGGGGCATCCACAGCTGCTCTGGGCACCCTGTGCCAGGGCCTCCCCACCCTCACAGCCACGAACTCTTTCCCAATATCCCATCTAAGCCTATCTCCTTTCAGTTTAAAGCCATTCCTTGTGTCCTGTCCCTCCATCCCTTGTCCCCAGTCCTTCTCCACCTCTCCTGGAGCCCCTTCAGGCACTGGAAAGGGCTCTGAGCTTTCCCTGGAGCTTCTCCTGCACAAGGACCTGCACTCAACTTTGCTGAACTTCTTTCCTGAGGGAGCACCAAAGGCTGTGGATCAGAGTGTCATCTCTCAGGAAGGACCTTAAAAGGGACCTCACAATTCCATGAAGCAAAAGCATTTTGACTTGTGGGGAGCAAAGAAATGYTTCTGCAGCCCTGCCTCCTCCCTGCTGTGCTGCTCGGCTTGGAAGTGCTTGGCATTTTTCCCCACCTCGTAAATAAATTATTACCGTGATCAAAATAATTAAGCAACTGAGCCCTTAAGTGACTAATAGAAGACAATAATTTATGTATGTGAGGTTTGTGGAAGTGACGGAGCYTTTTTAGCTGCTCTGCCAGAGAAATAACTTTTTCCTGGTGTTTGTTGGCGTTTTTAACACACCAGAGCACAGGCAATGATGGGACAAAGCCTGAAGGACTGAGCCAGATCTGCCCTTTACCCCAGGTCAGGCTGTGGAGAATGAATGTCCTGCAAAGCTCCCCACTGCCCTGCTGGAGATYAACTGCCACCAGCACCTCCAGACTCTTCTCTGTCCCCTCAGTCACTCCTTCCAGACTTTGGGGGCTCAGAGCCTTGTCCCAGGATCACTGAGATTG